AGATATACATTGTAATGTCAAATAGGTACTATATATATATATACGCGGTAAGAAACACTTATGACGTTATGTGAACACTTCATTATGTCAAAATATCTTTATAAGAACACGGAACCTCTCGGACGTTATTACATGCATTTATAGAAAGAACAGGCATAAGGGAAAAGTAGTCATGACGAATGTAAGTCAAATTTTTGAAAGAACAGGGAAGACCGCCTTGTGGAGCCCATTCCGACCACAGGGACTCGGTTAGCAGATTAAAATTTTGTTTATCAATTTCTTACCTTTTACCGGTCTATTTGTATTACATTAGTAACGTATTTAACGTTGGCATCAGTATTTCATTGTTTTCTAGCAATGTGCAGTTTACTATTCATATCTGTATACTAAAAAAATTAAGGGATCTAATTCTCCATTTTGAATAGCCTACCCTTCTTCAAATAAAAACAATTAAAAATATTTCAATGGGACTATATACCTTAGAAAGGCACACATGTCCTTCCTAAATGATTATTTTTGCAGAAGCATGTATTGATTTTCCGTTCAACGACACCCTTACTCATCTATCGTTTCATTCAGGTAAAAAAAAATCAAAATTCCCGGCGAAAACAACGTAACTAGAAACCAGAAACTCTACACAAAACTTAATTTTCCTTTTTTAGACGGTGATGGTACTTTGGCACCGTCTTGCGGTTGTTTATATATCACAACTGGTTTGCTATGCCCGTGCCTGTAGTGAGGTTATGGATTCCAATGAGCGTAATCTATGTATTGCTGGTAAATTATTAAGTCAGGAACTTGGTTACCACAAATTACTTAAAACCTTTACTAAATTCTTCCAAAGATACAAATATTTGGTTTGCAAGTTTGGCTATACCTGTAGAAAACTTATTTCAAACGGAATAGCACATCCTAACTTTTACGGTGATATTGTTTACCGAGCCAGGAAATTTAGATATTGGGTTAACTTATCAATCATTTTATTTAAACTTATTCTAAAAGGTTACCAATTCACACAGTAATTACAAATGTAAATCTTTGAATGTTGTTTTTATTGGTAGAAATATTGATTTTGTTATCAATACAATTACTAAATATTATTGTTATACACATATTCACTTTCACGGTACTACAATCTCTCGATACCTATATTTTGGCATTGCACAAGGTTATGTTTTTCACTGACTTTACACTAAATCCATAATTGGATGTTGGATGTGTATTGATTAATATTTTAGTTTTAGATACATGATTTTTTTACTAGTTGTTATTGGCTTCGAACTTCGAACTAGCTGGTAGTAACAGTAACTGCGATTACTCTAAGGTCTGTACTCTTTGTCTTTTTATGTGGTTATGGATGTATAAATACCCTGCCACGTCCGGTCTGTGTTTTTGTTATATGTATCGATCTGATGAGTTAATTAAGCCCTTTTCAACTGATTTTATTGTTTGTTCTTATGTTGTGCTGTTACACCACTGTCCAAGTTTAGGGGAGAGTTGACCGCTCACAAACATATTTAACCCCGCCACCTTCTGTATGTATCTGTCCCAATTAAGTCAGGAGCTTGTAGTTCAGTTGTTGTCGTTAGTTCCTGTCTGTCATATTTGTTTTTCGTAAATTGTTTTGTTATAAATTAGGCCGTTAGTTTTCTCAATTGAATTGTTTCATAATTTTCATTTCGGGGCCTTTTATAGCCGACTATACTGTATGGATTTTTCTCATTGTTATAGACCATACTATAATTGCCTACATCTACTTCATCTGAACTTTGGTGCATAGATGCCTCATAGGCAATCATACTACATCTCCTTATTTTTATATAACTGGCAAATGTGTCGTTTTTGAATAACATAGACGACATTTGAGATACAACTGTCATTCGGAAATTTCCCGGTTGTTACGTTTGTTACAACGATAATCCCTCATACATAATGAAAGGAAATTTCTTAACAAATGGGGGATCATAACTCACACGTTTCTTATCAGATACATTCAAAAAGAGGGGGGGGGGGGGGGGGGGGGGTTAGCAAGCCATCGCTTCAAGTGATACTTGTAAACCCCCTTTAATCCGCCTCTTTTTTGTTAATATATAAATCCTTGATGTGATAATATGTGCATGAATGAACGATGTTTAACCAGAAAGTCACATTCCTTCATGAAAAAAACCACTGATAATTTGGTGACAATCATTTAATATTTTTAGAGGGGGGAGGGGTATGATGATATAATCTGACATTGCAACTATTCATAGTCTAAATAATTATGACGTCTTGAAAGGTTTTTTTTTTTTTTTTGCTCTGACGCCTTCGGTTATTTGTTATTGAAGAATTATGTGTTAATTAAAGAAGTTACTCAGTTGTTATGGAAAGAATTTACGCAATTGTTAAGGAAATAATTGAATTGATTTCCCGTTAAATATGATGATAATGTGATACAATTCATTTAACAGACAGGAAATATGAACAAAATTGAAAAAAATGATAAACAAAATTTTAATCTGCTAACCGAGTCCCTGTGGTCGGAATGTGCTCCCCAACTGAAGGCGGTTTTCTCTATTCTTTTAAGAATTTGATGTAAACCCTTCAGTTTACTTTTTCTTTCGGATACCCTTATGTCTTTTCTTTCTATAAAATGCATGTTTGATAACGTCCGAGAGGTTCCGTGTACTTATAGAGATGTTTTGACATAATGAAGTGTTCACATAACGTCATATGTGTTTCTTACCATGTAATACCCATTTGACATTACAATATATATCTTTTTGCCCCATGTTATAGAAATACTACATAATGAATTTTAATATAACGTAAGGAAAGTTTCGCATCATGTAATGAAATGTTCATATCATGTAAAGAAGTAACCACATCACGTAACGAAGAATTCAATCATGTAAAGAAGTAACCACATCGCGTAACGAAGAATTCACATCATGTAAAGAAGTAACCACATTACGTAACGAAGAATTCACATCATGTAAAAAAGTAACCACATTACGTAATGAAGTTTTCACATCATGTAATGAAGTTGTCATATCATGTAATGAAGTATTCATATCATGTAATAGTGTTTTGACATGATGTAAGCAACATTTGCATCATATCATAGTAGTTTCTTCTTATGAGGCAGTGATGGCGTTCCATATGTCTTCGTGCGGACTGTGCCTTGCTTCGATTTATGTATCGGTATATTACAAATCAGGGAATATGTTACGAAATTAATGTGTTATCGTCCTTAAATATCCATGTGATATTTGCCGCTGGTCGTCAAGCAGCAATTAATCAATCCTTTTATTCTAGATTTAAAAAGTACTGAAATGACAGCTTTATACAAAACATTGGTTTTTGCATTAGAGTGGTTGCCCGAGTCAATTGAAAATGTATGCTATGGGATATGGATACTTTTCGAAATGATTATGTAATGCGATTGCTGTATGCTTTTGCTACTTTTCATATTTTGAGTTAATGTACATGTGAAGTTTTGCATTTGAATTTTTTTTATATGATTCATTATAAAACAAAATAAGTCACTTGATGGCAATGCTATGTTTGACATATTCATGTTCGCCTGAAAGCAAGTGAAACATGCATTTTTTTTATTTTACACTTGTACACATGTACTTATTAATTCAACGAGAGATTTATATATGCACTAATATTGATGAAGTGTAACATTGAGTATTTTCAGGTTCTATTATTATTTGTTTTAATGACAAGATTGTTATCTCGCTTAAATAATCCAAACAACTAAAGTAGGTTCTGCGTGAATGTCACAGACATTAGGCTCGGCTTTAAGTAAACTGAGAGATTTATTGTAGTACTTTTAGTTAAGAATTGCCGTTTTCATTTAAAATATTTCAGATCGCATTTATATGAACATACACATTTCACAGTACTGATTTGATTTATTTTGTTACTTATTCACTATTGCTGTTTATTCTATCACGCTGATAGAAGAAATAACTAAAATATGTCTAAAACATACCCCCTGCCGATCAAAAGATTTTGAAAATAACACTACGAAAATATCAGCCAAAATCGCAAAATGAACACATATGAAAAAGGTTTATAACTAAGTAATTATATTTACTGCACATTTTTATACCATTATTTTTGTTTTTACGTAGCGTCCTATTTAAATCAGGTTAAGGTCAAGTTACAGTAAATGGGCTATGTCACAGATTTTCTTAAAATTTTGGATACAACTTTGGCTCGTTAAACTTTAACTGAAAATCAAAAAATAATGCATTTATTTCTTTTATTTTCTAAAATATTACTGATTGAATTCTTTCAAAATATGTGAACATTTTTATAGAAAGCAAATAAAATTAGCCTTTTTTTTTGCATTAGACAGTTAAAAATACAAAACAAGAAATCAGAGTAACTATTTGTCTTTTCTTTAATATAAGTTTCAATAATAATAAAGACCTTTTTAAAATCAATGAGAGGAACAAAAACACTGATTTCAGATTTAATTGTACATGTTTACACCAAGTAAAAGAAATTAATGTATATTTACTCGAAGCATTAACCCAGCAGGCACACAACGTTGAACCAACGTTGAAAATATGTTGAAATTTGGTTGTAGCGTTGATCAACGTAAAACCAACGTTGTATCAACGTCAATCCTATCAACGTTTAAATCACGTTGTTGGATCAACGTTGATTTGTGGTTAAAAATATCAACGTTGAACTGTCAACGTTGAATCAACATTGAATTTAAATTAATGCTTTCAATGTTTTGATAGGTTGAAATTATAACGTTGATAAAAGGTTTATTTAAGGTTGATGACTTTAAGTGTCGACCGAAATTTCATTCCAGATGAGATTGAATCATTTTATATATAAACAACTTTGCAGGAATTATTGGGAATAAATGTTAATAATTTGGAATTCTGTTGCATGTGTATATAAATCTTCAAATTTACACGATAAGAGCGAATGATTTAACTTACGCGGAAGAGATTTTTTTTTCTAATTTGCGCATGCGTATGAGGCCGACATTTCGAATTTATTTGCGCCACTATGATTACCACAACAAGTTAACAGTTGCTCGAAGCAGTGCAAAGTAAGTATAAATTTCATTCATTGTTTGCTTTAATAATAGTTATATGATAATTTAATGTTAACAGTATTGTAGCTGTAATTATTCGCTGTCCCCGCAAGTATGGCAAATCATTATAGCCCCTTTTTTGAAGTTCACCTATGTAATCTCAAACTCGATATTTTATATGTTGATGTAATTAAAAGTCAAAGATTTACAACGCATGGCATTCTTGACCTTGAAATACATTTAAAACAAACAAATTATTTTCTCTGCATCAGAATAGATGTCACTCACAGCATGTATTCCGAGGATTTACGAATCATGTGAAGCAATACGGCGGATAAGAAACACGTGTGACCATAACAAATTAATACACACTCTGACCAATTTCAAAGTGGTTTATTTGATACTGAGTTATGATTAAGTCGAAATAGATGCTTCTTCAATTGACCGTACTGAATTATTACAGCCAAAAAAAATTCAAGGAAATAGACATTATTCCTTTAGTTTTAATATCTAAACATAACCCATATGCATGTATACGTAAAATTTAAAAAAGACGTATCACGTCGGAAAGACTTGAATTTATTGCAGTTTGAAAAAGAATGTAAACAACGGTTCAAAGTTGAACTACTGCTTGAGTATAGCAAATTAACATGCTGAAAATATTAATTGATGAAATATTTAAAAATATAATGAAATATATCAATAAAATAAGTAATCCATGAATAATATTCATTTTGAATTATATGAAAGTAAATAAACTCATCATTGATACCAGGATTGAAATTTTGTATTTGCGCCAGACGCGCGTTTCGTCTACAAAAGAATCATCAGTTACGCTCGAATCATAAAATGTTAAAAAGGTCAAATAAAGTACGAAGTTGAAGAGCATTGAGGACCAAAATTCCTATAAGTTTTGCCAAATACAGCTAAAGCATCTTAAGGTGACCACCCAAAGCTTTATCTGCCGAAACGCGTTGTTTTATGGGTTTTATACTAACAACATAGGCGGGTCCCCCCTTTTGTGGGAAAAATTTGGTTGATTATAAAGGGAATCACTGAAGCATGACTGGAGCGGGCCCCCTCTTAGGGCAGTCGGTGGGCCAACCCTTATGAAAATTTCAGGATCCGCCACTGAACAATATGAGTTGCTGTAAAGATCTCGGTGCTTGTGGAGCATTATTGTATCTCAAGATGAGAAACTGTCAAGATCTCGGTGCTTGTGAGGCCTTATTTTATCTCAAGATGAGTGACTGTCAAGATCTCGGTGCTTGCGTTGCAATATTGTATCTCAAGATGAGTGACTGTCAAGATCTCGGTGCTTGCGTTGCAATATTGTATCTCAAGATGAGTGACTGTCAAGATCTCGGTGCTTGTGGGGCATTATTGTATCTTAAGATGAGTGACAGTCAAGATCTCGGTGCTTGTGGGGCATTATTGTATCTCAAGATGAGTGACTGTCAAGATCTCGGTGCTTGTGAGGCATTATTGTATCTCAAGATGAGTGACTGTCAAGATCTCGGTACTTGCGGTGCAATATTGTATCTCAAGATGAGTGACTGTCAAGATCTCGGTGCTTGCGGTGCAATATTGTATCTCAAGATGAGTGACTGTCAAGATCTCGGTGCTTGTGGTGCATTATTGTTTCTCAAGATGAGTGACTGTCAAGATCTCGGTGCTTGTGGTGTATTGTTGTTTCTTAAAATGAGTGACTGTCAAGATCTTTGTGCTGGTGGTGCATTAATGTTTTTCAAGATGAGTGACTGTCAAGATAAAATAAATTAAAATGCCATTAGCTTATTGTGAGATCTTCAAACTATGATTTAGGATTAAATTCAATTCTAAAGCCCTTGGTCCCAGAGGCGAACCTTTTGAGGGAAAAAATTGGTTGACTGTATAAGAAATCACTGAAGCATGACTAGAGTGTGCCCCCTCTTATGCACTCAGTGGACTCCCTTATAAAAATTTCCGGATCCCCCACTGATTCGAGAATCTTGTTGGATTCTGCAGGACAAATTTCCCTTAATGCTACAATAAAAATAATTGAACTTAAAGATTTTTAACCAAATTGTGAAAGGTTTTGGAAGTCCAAATTTTGTAAGCGTTTCACACATATGAAACTTTATTTTTCTATTTCAAGTTATAGAAGGAATTGTGACAATTTGAAAATACTGCACTTAAAAGTGTCTTTTTTGTAGATGTCTTCACCAATAAACCCATGTCTGAAAAATACATGACGGGTAAAAAGAATAAACATGCCTTTGGTGGTTCAAGCTTTTTTGAAATAATAAGAGGTGAGTATTGAAATATATATCATTGTTTTCCACATTAAAAATTGTGTGGGATTTTGTCACAACTTCTTTTAAATGTGCTCTAGTATCATTGTCTACTAAAATCTATAGGTTTTTTGTATTAAAATTTTTTTTTTTAATATATCTGAACTCAAGTTTTAAAAAAGCACATGCATGGTTGCTCTCAATAAATATTTAAAAAAATAACAATATCATTGCACAGAGATTACTTTTTCACATATTACAGTAGTGTTCTTTATTTGAGCTGAAAAATAATATTAACCTAGTTATGATAAAGATAGTATAATATGTTGTCTTTTTTCTGTTGCAGATGCTATAGCTACAAGTCAAAAATGTGCAACATGGACAACAATATGGAACTAGTGTGCAATATACCTAAAATACGCCCAGAAATATCGGGAATGTGTCCAGCAAAAGGACTGACATTTTAAATAAAATTAAGTATTCAGTTTGTGTTTGTTTGAAATTGTAAGATGCATATGCGAGCAACATGTTATATAATTACTGTTTTATGTCACAAACATATTTTGTGTATGAACAAACATGATCCTGTCTATTATGAAAAAATGAAGGTACAAAAATGTATGCCAACTGACACTACAATAAAGTTTAAGATTATCTATGCCTGGTAAGGTTAATAAGTTGTGCCTGTTCTTCTTGTCAAGTCTTGTATCATAAACACCAGATTCAGAAGTGAGTGGTCTCATTACAAGTATAATAATTACCAAAACAAAGGGAATGACTTATTTTCCACTTAATCATAAAATTTAGCGAAATACAAAAAGGGAAATATTGGAACAGGCAGAAATTTCCTAAATAATGAACTCTGCAACAGACTACATTTATATCAACCACCGACACATGACTACAACCACTTAGTACATATAGTTTTGTGAAAGTTTCATTACACATAAAATGGCACTGATGGATATAATAAGTGGTAATGATTTCAGCTGTTGACAACCCACAATAAAACCAATGTTCAAAATCATATTCTCAACATTGACCACATTTCGAGACTCAACTTGCATTAACTTTAAGCCTAAAACGGTCTACCAGGGCCCAAATCCTACCTATTGTCAACATACACTGACCACAGTTCAACCAACATTCGACAGGTTTTCAGCATACACTGACCTCAGAACAACCAGCATTCGACCTGATTTCAAAATACAGTGACCACAGTTCAACCAACATTCGACAGGTGTTCAGCATACGCTGACCATAGTTCAACCAGCATTCGACCTAATTTCAACATACACTGACCACAGTTCAACCAGCATTCGACCTGATTTCAATATTAACTGACCAAAGTTCAACCAGCATTCGACCTAATTTCAACATACACTAACCACAGTTCAACCATCATTCGACTTGTTTTCAACTTGCATTGACCAAATTTAGACCAAAATTTAACCTATTTTCAACGTTGGAAGCTGACGTTGAATCAACGTTATGTTTTCAACGTCATATCAATTTTCAATCCAACACTACTTTTCAACATTGATTCAACGTTGAAATCTGACGTTTATTCAATGTTGAATCAACGTTGCTGTGCCTGCTGGGTTATATTTATCATATAGGATTGAACTTTAAATACTTACCAGTATCTGGTGAGAACTTTTCGTATCGAAAATATCTTGACCATACATCTGATGACGAATTACCGACTGCATTCGACAATGTTGTGTTCAAACTTGTACAATAGTTGACAGCATAAGCCCAATTCGCTCGATGACCAATATTATCTGCAACAAAAAATGTTAATGGGAATAGCTATGGTAAAGGAATTTTCAGTAAATACAGTTTGCATGAAAAAGAAATGAGTTACTGCGTTGGTCTTGTTATTAAAAAAAACCCCAAGAAAACAGCAAAACAATGAAATTCCAAAACAATCATCATGATCGTCAGAAATATTCAATGACTATTTTTTTGTATACATTGGCATGAAATCCGTCAGTTTTGCTAAAACTATTCTAGAATTACTTCAAGTTTTTGAAATGCATTTTTTTCGCATGTTTGAAATATCTATATTTGTCCTAAAAACAAATTTTCTTACGGACTTGACTTATGTAAAGTCTTGATATTCGGTGTCCTCTTATTGTTTTATACATGCTTAAAATGATTTTACAAAAACGTAACCGACAAAATTAGTTTTGTCTTCTTCTTGAGTCACTTCGTGGATTCAGATATAATAAGATCACCAAGAACTTACTAAACTGGTGTAAACCTCATATTGAGTATGCGAATATTAGGTCTAAAGTATGCACCAATGAGCCTGTCTGAAGCTAGGAATTTAGTGAGTAGTTGACTGAATTTCATTATATTTTTATCAATTCCCTTCAAAAATAAAGTGTTGATTTAAGATCTTTTGTATGTTAATTCACTACTTGTACATACACGAATCAATTACTAGTTGTACAAAGTTTGGACATGGAATCCTGTCAATCGTTTAATAAAACATATGTTAATCTCTAGAAGTATTGATAGGTTTAACTCATTCGCGGCTCATGCCGACTGAAGTCGTGATATCGATTTCAACAGTCATTTATCAATATCCAAATTGTCCTTGTTGAAATGGGTTGACCACTGGAAGTCGAGTCTTACAATTCATGGCCTATATACCTGTGTAAGTTTGCTATTATTAAACTTTGACAAAGAAAATTGACAAAGAAACTGTCCTTCTTGCAGCTAAAAATTGAAAAAAAAACCCTGTGAAAAATAGCTTAAATTAGGGGGGGGGGGGGGGGGGTGGGGCTTGTATTACGTCAATAGTAAAGATCATACATATAAAGTGTTAATGTATATGCCTAAATAGGGACATGATCAAATGATCAAAATAAGGATGTAATAATGGCCAAACAGTTCAGGTCTGTAATAAACTAGAAAACTGTTTAAACAGTAATATGTAATATCGGACATTTTTGCCTATTTTGCCCGCCGTAAAACAGTTAACAAGGATGCGATACTGGTCCAACCGCCACAACGAGAAAATATTGCAGATAATTAGGTGCGAATGAGTTAGACAATAATTTTCGTTCTCATTGAAAGTGATTTCAGTTCGTTAGTGTTAATTCTACATTTAAGAACTTAAAAATTATTCTAACATCAATGAATTCACATCAAAGATTTGCAAATCAAGGTTGAAATGTACAAAAAAAATATTGGGAGATGTGGTATTATTGCAAATGAGGTAAATATCCACCAGAGACCAAAATGACATAGATGTTAAAAACTGTGGGTCACCGTAGGACCTTCAACAATGAGTAAAACTCAAAGTGCATAATAAGCAATAAAAGGCCCCGACATAACAAAACGTTGAATAATTCAAACGAGAAAACCAACGACCTGATTTATGTGCAAAACAAATTTATGTTTAAAACAACAAACGAACAATAAATATGATATACAGTAACAAACGACAACCTCTGAATTACAGGTTCCCGACTTAGGACAGGCAAATAGGTCTTTCAAATGAAATCAGGCTGTGTATAAACTGCAAGAGAGTGTATATACAGATTTCAATTAATGTACTCTGCAAAGTAAAAAGAAAATTAAATTAAAAAAAAAATAAAACACTTAGGTCCGAATCATTTTTCAAATAAAGTTGACACTGAATAAATGCTTATTAACGAATTAAAATTACATATAAAAGTAATGAATTATTACAGGTGTATTACGAATACAAAATGCTGGTACAAGCAAATTGGGAACTCACCATGTGTATTTTCAAGACTCAAGACATGAAAAATGAAGGTTGCAGTAACCGTGAAGAAAACCTGTTCGTGTATTTAACGGGAAACGCAAAATCTTCATATAGAAGTCCAACGTCAGAAGGCTGAAGCCTTGCCTTTGGTTGTCTCAAGTAATTTCTCACTGATTTTGTTACATGGAAAACTTGGTGCTGATGGCAGATAATTGATTGTTTATGTACGATTTAGAACTACACATATTGAATATATACCACAGGCATATAATGTGGAAGATTAACATATTTTCACTAATTTAATGCGTTCTTGCTCTTACCCAAATGATATTTAAATTCAAAACGATTACTCCAAAATAATTGCGAGGGTTTTATAAATGCGATTAATGCAATCGGGTTAGTATCGCAATGACAAAAACTCGCATTCTGATAAGTGACTCATATATCTGAATGCAGCATTTCGTGAAATCCTAATAATTAAACTTGACTTTTGGTTTTTTATGTCAAAATCGTGATAATAACCATCACGATAAATTTTGAACAGTAATAAATTTTGCTTTCCAAACTTTTGGTACATGTAATCTGAAGATTATTCCAGAAACAGAGGTGTTTTGGACGGATATCATATCATACGATTTTTGCTAGAAGCTTTTCACCGATCATTTGTACAAAATAAGGGATAAATTGATCTTGGTGCCTTCGAAAGCTTTACAGTTCGATATTAATCGGTAATCTCATGTTATTGACGAAACATAATTGAACATTACATAAAAAATGTGAAATTTCCTCTTCATACGTTATCGACAGTTGCAAAGCAAAGTAAAATACATTATCTTAAAGGAGTAGGTATGATAAGACCCATTATTTGGCGCCAGAAATTGTATAAATAGTAAAATTACTCAAACTTTTAAAATTTATGTTAGACCTATTGATAAATGATTGATAGATTGATAGATTGATTGTGGGTGTTTAACGCCATTTTCAGTACTATTTAATATTTAATGGCGCTCAGTTTTTATTAGCGGAGGGAGCCGGAATTCCCGAAGAAAACCACAGACCTTCGGCACGAAAACTGACAGTTCTAGTCAATTAAGGTTAGAATCGAACATAACAGCCACGTGCGGGGTACAGACTCGTAATCTCAGTGTTGATGGGCTAGTGATACAGTACTGTAATTGAACTACTTAGATCACTCGGCCACCGAGGCTCAATTGGTAAATGAACAGAGTTATATAATTTGGATACTTTAGTACAGAAAGGTCACGTGTTATGTCACTGTAATATCATAAACATGTTGTAATTGACATATTCGACATAAAATGACAATCTTATGCATAATGTTTTGACAAAATATATCTGCGCAACATCCTGAACCGAAAAGATATCTTACACACATTAACATCTATGTAAAAGATATCTTGTAGCAAAATGTATTATGGGTAAAACTTTTGCTCATGTTTGAATATTAATGACAAGATCTCAAATGAGGCTATTTTGGCTTTTTGCAATAAATTCATGAACTTTGAAGCCGTAATGCAAATTTACAAGAGTAAACAAAAATAAAAAAAGCATAATAAGTGATGGCTGGCATTTTTATTTCTCAAAACCTATGAAGAATGTTATTTTGGTAGATTTATGATGATTTTTTTAATTTCCGAATTCAAGGGTCAGAAAAGTAGCCTTATACTTTCTCCTTAACACAAAATATAGGGTAACATAGTACATACATTACAAGGAAGTAAAATGAAAATGCAACACAACTTTTCCATATTCTATGTTGACAAACACCATTTGAAAATACAAAAGGAAAACATATGAATTACAGGAGGTGTGGGGTTTACGTCCATGAGACAGTAATCCAACGAGAAAATTACCAAAGATAAAAAAAGGCATTTTAAAAAAAAGAGGGCAACCTATAATCTTGAACAGCAAAAGGATTTCTTTTTTATTCTTTTATTCAGAACAGTCGCCTGAGTGTTTAAATTATTTATTTTGTTTAAAAATAATTTTGTTCTACTGTTGGATACGTAGTAAAATACAGATTCTTACCCTTTCCGTCGCATCTAAAGTAATATGAACTAGGATAGCAATTTACATCAAATTCATAGCCATCTTTCTTATAAACACAATGGTACGAAAATGTATATATTGTTGGTCGTACAATCTCCATATCTAAAAATGAAAGCATTTAATTGCAATTTTGCTATTGTATGACAGTCATCTAATATCTTATTAAGACAATTACTGTTGGCTATTGTTTTTATTAATTTAATGATAACAAGCAAACTAGCCTTTTTCCAGTACTTCAAATCTAGGAAAATATGATTTATTTATTAGTTGTAATCGTCTCTGAGCTAGCTTTCAGAAACTACAAGCACTCGTAGATCGGATATTTGTGTCTCTCTGTTAGTTATTTTGTTATGCCTTGTACCGATCTGATTAGCTAAGTCCTTTCTATCTGACTTTAACTGTTTGTTCTTATGCTGGTATTTCAGATCACTATACCGGATTATAGGGGGCGGGGTTGAGCGCTCCAAAACATGTTAAAATCCGCAACGTTAGAAAAGAATTACATCATCAGATAAAATTGGTTTCATTTAAAGTAAATTTTTTTTCTCAATATGAAAAAAATTTTGCTCCGCATCCTTGGCAGTCTTTTTGATTCAAACTGAACTATATTTCGAAGTATAAAATCTCTTCTGTATTCAAAATTAGCTATTTCTAGAAGGCATGCACGAAATCACCGGACATTTGAAGGACTGTCAAAACAGGGGTTTCATTTATTTGGGATTCACATTACATGAAATCGTAAAGGTGAAACAATACATAAAGAAGATTTCATAAAATTGAAGTATGTTATGAATTTGTTCACACAATATTATTGAATTATTGGTTTAATGAGATTACCAAAGTGAAGCCAAAAGTCTTAGGTGCGCGGATACACCGGACTGCACCGTACGTTAAAAATGCAGTGGACTACTGGACTTTATTTCGGAAGAAATTGTTGTTGCGTTTAAATGGTTTGAAATAATTTTGTGTACCTGACGACCAATTACATTTTTATTAATAATTGATATATGTCATGTCATTTTAATTCCTTTTTAACAAGGAAACTTATGTTAATATAAACATCAAACTACCTGTCTGATACTTGAATAACGGAATTCCAAATCCGGATGAGCAGAAAACTGAGTCGTTTTGACAGGTAGTAACACAGCCAGGGTGATCGGTAACTGGATACTTTTCAATACTGATAATACATAGACATAGGTTCATCTGTAAAAAAATATGTGTCAAAGTGAAAATGTACGAAGTCACTTGAGCGGGATGGTTCATGTATTGACACTAAATTGCATTTTAACTTTAATCTACAGCTAGAATGCTAGATTTGCCATATATTGTCATTGCATCCCAATTTACATGGCCGTGTGAAAGTTGCTTAACGATCAGTGGCAAAATTGCATGCATATTCAGAATAATTGGTATGTCGACCATGATATGTCTTTTCTTGTTCAGAGTGTGTTGACAGGTTGCTCTCTAATTGACGTATATACATTTTGTTAACCACATCTCATTATATGCATACATGTATTACACCAGATAAATAGAAACATTCAGTTTGGAGCATCCTGACGAAAAAGTAAATGTTCAACTTGCAAATATTGTGCATTGATTTAATTTGTGTGTCTTGTGATTTTGTATTACTTCCTTAGGGTTTGTGTTATTTCTGATTGACTGTAAGTCCCCAAATGTAAAACTAGCCCAATATTAAGGTAATTTGCACGGACTTGATATTTCCTTGATATCTAATAAGATAACTTTTCAGTTGACGAAAATATAAAACATTTGTTGAACTCTAAAAATATAATAGTGCACAAGTTTTCCTTATAACCATATCTTGTTGCAAGTTGACGCAATTAGATACAAACAAGTGATTGCATGTATACGTGTGATCGGTATTTTGTAAGTAGGTACTCTGAATAATTTATAAGGGAAAACTGTATGTTGACCCCTAGATATCCTTTTTAGTTATTTGGGCTGCTGGCTACTCTCATTTATGTATACCAAGCATTTCATTTTATTTATATAGAATTGTGATAAATAATGAATATAATAATTATTAGGCAAAACGATAAGGCCAAGTGATCTCCAATTTTGTATGATTCTGCAAGTCTAGAGGATTTGAATATAAATAGTCTCAACTATATGCCTTTACATTTTTCAACAGGTTTTTTTATATACCTATAGAATTGTTTTTATATAGTGTTTCCTTTGGCATAAGATATCCTTTTTATTTAATTTTGATCCGGTGATTATTTCGGGTTTTTATGAAAATTTGCCACAAAGGACATTTGTAATCAATTTAACCATCTGAAAACTTAAGTATTCAAATATCTCGTGCATTGGTTAAAGTAACTTCAAGACAAGAACCATGCATTTTGTATGATGATTTTACTACAATTTCAAAAAATGATTATTTTAAATAATCTACGTAAATAATTATCAACGACAGAGAAAAAAGAATAAATTCCTAAAACAAAAACATACGAGAAATTACTCAACAGGAAACATTGCTGTTTAGGGTAAAAGTAAACAAATCAACAAATAGTGAAAAAAGTCCAACCAAATAAAAGTTCCTTTAAATTTGCAAGGACTTACTTGTAGAAATAATTCGTTATATATTTACAACTAAGGAAAGTTAACACTAGATGATATCAATTGTTCTTACATAGTAGACAAAATAATTCAAGTTTGTGCAATGAAATGCACATTGGAAAACATCATCTCTAACTACAATAAAGCTGAGATTGCTATTTGCGAAGTAATCCGACAACGGTTGCTTGTCTCTTTTTGGTATATTAATGTCAATACACCCTGCAAAATATGTAAAGTTTATGATCAATCTAGACAACTTTAGGATATTGATTTTTGATGACATTACAAGTTATTTTTGTGTTTTGCTAATTTTCTGATACGCTAATGTTTTGACTGTACTTGTTATTTTGTTATCAATTATACCAGTAGTCTAGAATTAAGTTCTTTGTCTTCTATTGTTATTCCACCGATCTAATTGAAAAAGGAGAAAGGGTGAGATTAAAATAATAAGAACTAACTTAACCCTTTCACATGTTTATGTCTTACTGAATTTTGTGTGATTTTCGCTGTTAAATTTATAAATATTGTCTAGATAAGTTTTATATTTGTCATGTTGGTGCCTTTTATAGCTTGCTATTCGGTACGGGTTTTTGCGATTATTCAAGGCCGTACGGTGAACGGCATTTTGTCTTTTGTGGAGAACTGTTTCATTGGCACATCTTATTTTTGTAATAACACGATTTTCACAGTTTACGTCACAAATTATTCCGTAGTTGACCAAATCAAAACTATATCTCAGGTTAAGAGATGTTCCTAGGCGGCCTGTTTGGTATCATTATAACTTTAAGCGTTATCGATTCGTCTTTGTTTTCATTTGGAGGGCTTTAAATGAGTCTTTCTGACTTAATCAAAAAGTCATGTAGTATTTATTGATAATTATTTATTTATGTAGGGAATGAACAAAAAGATATTTTACTCGTTCTTCAAGCACTTTTACTTCTTTTTAAACTGATAATAACTGTATATTAAATACAATACAACATAATACAATAAAGAACCTTGGTCGACTTTAATTCTTTAAGTTTGAATATAAAGATTCATTTATTCGTAACTTGTAAAACATTTTTTATATTTAACCTTGAAAGAAGGCCCAGCCTGAAGACACCTCATGCGTTGCAGTCCAAGCGTAAAATCCATTTTCGTCTCTAGCGTCGTTGGATGACCGTAGCCTGTAGAGCTCTGGAACTATACAGCTTTTTATAGCCTTTTCCCAACTAACTGAAAGATTCGAAAAATATTTTTATTGAATTCTGTATATGCAATCGTACATTCTTATTCAGCATTCGACACAAAATAAAGATATGGGTAATAATATGAAGCAATCATGTACTAATACATAATTATAGAATAGAAAACGGAGGTTTTAAACATACATTATACAAAACAAAAGAGACATAGCTGAAGCTCTCCTACGGGTGCGGAATTTCTTGCTGCGTTGAAAACCCATTGGTGGCCTTTGGCTGTTTTCTGCTCTTCGGTCGGGTAGTTGACTCTATGACACATTCCCCGTTTCCTTTCTCAATTTTATACTATATAATGGAGTGTTTCTAATTTTTTTAACGCGCGTTTTTGATGTTGTATGTGTACTTCTGCTCATTGAGATAAAACGAAGAAGGATAACAGTTCAAGATAAAATCAAATCCTATCATATCTTACTGTGTTTCAGTTCTCGTCAAAATTCAGGTGATAGCCGATGTCTCTTCATGATCTTATTTCCTTCAGAATGTGGTTCTTGTGCAACATATTTAGTTGTTTCTGTTGAATTTACCCGAATTTACCCTTTTTTACAAAGGGTCATTTGGTGCATTACGTAGATTAACTTCTATGTTAGGTTGCTTTCTCAATTACAGTAAAACTGTTATACCTAACCATATGGTATTCATATCAAATGACAAACATAGACAAGCATCGTTAGACATGAGGAAAACCTGTCTGTAATATTAGACAACATATTATCACGTAAACATTGTTTAATACTCGAGATATGGGATGGTCTTTCAAAAAATTAATTATTTATGAAAAGCATTCAATTTTTTTTTCTCTAAAAACAATACTTTATTCATTTCCTTCCTTTACATACGTTCCGGATGTTATAGATAACACTTGAACTTAATATACAAATATAATGCGATAGAAGGTTTGAAATTTATGTTTTGTGTCTCAAATGTTAAACTCAAATGGCTTACACTATAATTTAAGATTTTTTTTTCGGTTATTTATGTTAAATTGGGTTGGCGGATTTTTTTGCTTTAGAATAAGTCTTGCCGAACGATTAAAAATCCAGAAATGCGCTTGGCAAGCATCAAAAGCAATAAAAAAAAACTTTAATTAACCTTTTATGGCTGTAGTCCGGGATATTAAGTAACAATTCTCAGGTTGTCTGCTTATTGATGTTCTAAACTATCAATTATGAGTCACAATATGAAGATTTTTGTCGAATGAGCGCAGCGAACGAGTTCAAAAAGACTTCAAAGTGCGTCGAACAGCTGATATTTTTCAATAAAATATAATAATAAAATCTGAAAATTGATTTATCGTGTAGTTTATTTGTGTATTTTGCATGATAGAAATTATTGTTTTTCTTTGTTTCACCAGCAAACCGGAAGAAGACTTGATAAGTTTGGGTCAAACTTATCAACGTCGGTTTATCAATTATGACGTCCGAATCAAAGTTATTTACACCGGATTAACGTATTTGGCGTCACAAAGCCGTGATTGCAATTTTATCAAGAGCTGCTGAGCAAAGTGATACAGACAGTGGAAACACCGATAATACTTATAATGGAGCCATTTCAATATCCCTTTATCATTTACATTTTAATTAAATATGACAGACTTTCTCAATCAGATAACCTCGGGTTATACATGGCTAAACCATAATTTATATATTCTTCGTCTTAAATTTGGTCTAACAATGTTATATAATTATGCACTTTTCAAATATTTGCCTTTCTCTCAGAGGGATTTGAACTAATGCTTTGGTGAATTCGCTTTTTAAATTTTTTTTTTATTATAATTACTCCAACCCAGGGAATTAAATTGTTTGCAAATATTTGAAGAAATACATGACATTTTGTGCATGTAAATTATCAACCCGATATCAAAATACTTTTAATATTTTGTTAACTTGAAATAAATAGTGAAACAACATATATCGGTTAAAAGATAACAATTGAAGTAAGCTAACATTTGCACTTAATTTTTTCTAACAAAAAGAAAACTAAACTATATGAGAAATTAATGCCTACCTTCAGTTTCATTCAGATATTCTGTTGCATAAGAGATTATAATTAAAGAACTTAAATATAAAACAAACAGCATTATATGTATCGTGAGTTGCAAGTTACTTAATTGTTATGTAAACATTATACCAAAATAAAGTATAAATTATAATATTTCTAATGTATATGCGTATCCTACAAGGAAACAAATACCCATGAAAAACAAACGACAATTTATACGCTTGAGTGAATTAATCATAGTTATTTTAGGAAAAAGCCCCGGAAGTAGAGCGGCAAATACTGAGGTATTGTACTTTGCATACATAGGAAGATTATTGCGTTTTTCTAATCACTATTTGTTATTCCACTAAAATCGTTTTAATTATTCAAACTACTCATTATGCCCTGACGCAAATTAAGGTTCTGTCTTAAGTCAAGAAACTGGTTTGTGGTTGTGTTTACATAACTAATAAATCTTTTTGTAGGGATTCGTTGTCAATAGCAGATATATGGTTAGAATAAAACTTGTCCTGACTTCTGTACATAGGTCAATATAATAAAGGTCTGAATCTAATTTTGAAAAAAAAACATGATTACCTCTCTGTATGTTTTTACCTTTTGTATCATTAAATTGTTGTTGCATTGAAAACATTAGAGGATACCAAGGGGCAATTGAAAATTATAAGTCCAATAAAACAGACAACACTATGGCCAAAAATTAAAAAAAACATGACGACTCCCCAATAACAAAAACAATACACAGCAAACAAGAGATTAATAAGGACGAGCTTACAAACAAAAAAACCCTGGGTTATCCTGAAAGGGTAAGCAGTTCATGCTCCACATGTAGGACTAGTTTTGTTGCTCATGTTATATGTAATGAGGGGTTAGTAAAACTATAGTCGAGGAAGAGAGTATTGTGGCTATGACAAGTGGAAAATATCCGTTGTCATCTGGTCATATATATTCGATAATGGTCAACCAAATCATGATGACGTCCGTAAATAATGGCAACAGTTTTAAACCGATGTTCAAATCTCTTAATTCGATTAAGAAGACAAATAAAGAATACAATCAAAAATGAGGGAATCGCATGACATCGAAAAGTAAAGAGACCGGTTGTGTTGATGACGTAAGTGTCTCCTGCTACGAATGCTATACCTACCATACACATCCACACTCAGTCAAAATGTCTCAGTTGGGAATAGGACAATATCGGTAAAATGACATATTATACGACTTTCCGGTATCTAAAGATAAAAGACCGCGAAAACATGTTTCCAGTTTGCAAAGTTACAGATATATCGTATCGGTCAATCTATACGTGACGGTAAAACTTATATAGTGTCTATTTCAGTCAGTTTTCCTAATAACTCTGCAGGATTTGTGTATGCTAATGAAGTCTACGTCTTGTAAAGATGCACGATACTAACGTATCAATTGAGATATGTAAACGTTATACGATGGGAGAGAAGGTATGTTACTGCGAAGTTGACAATGTTAAAATCAGCATGTTTGTCAAAGATTCTAGCTTGAAGTCTTCCATGTGTGTCAATATCGTAGAAAAGATTAGGATATGAAACAGACCTTCTCGATTTGGTAGTATAACAAATCTCAAGTTTACTTGGATATATGAGTTGGAAGAATTCACTTAAAAGTTCGAAGGATGAATACATCTTTACTACCCTGGAGGCAATATCTTCTTTGTTAGAATCTTCCCTCAAGTAAGTGATGATAGCACCCGCAAGCTCTGAATCGACTCGAGATATATACTCAATATGCTTGCACTGCCGATATGCTGCTACACAGAAATGGAATACTCACAATGGAAAAATTGAAATCCTCTCTTTTGTCGTAAATTTAAATTCTCATTCTAAATTTCTAGATGTAAGTATCTGTGGTACCTTTAATTACAAGTGAATTTGGATAGATGCAATCAACTT